TTTTAAAATAGAATTGCAAAACTCAAAAACAAAAGCAGCAATATAAATTTTTATACAAAAAGCTGCAGCACTTGCATGGATACACCAATTATTGAGTTTGATCATAAATAGTATTCTTTCTCAGTCATGACCTGATCACTTTGCTGAATGCTTTATTTATAAAATTTGATCGATATTAGACCATATCAGTGTCTCATGGAAGATCTCTGCCCCAGGACCCCTCCCAAATATTTCCACAATTAACCCCCCCACCTTCCTCAAACTCCCCAACCCCCCTCCCCCTAGATTGACCACGGAGAATTTTATCTGGGCTCCTAAAAAGGTGGCTTGGGCTCCTAACTTTTGGTGGAAGGAGCCCAAAGGGCTCCATAAAAATTTCCTTAGGCAACAGCCTTGAGAACTATCAATTTTTTCCACATCTTCAGTGATGTTGCTATCGGGTCTCAAAATTCACCATCACTAAATTGAAATATCATACACTGTTATGCTACTGATATCAACCTTTAACTACCACAAATAAGCCAGAATAAAGAGACATTCAACAAAACTTGCAATTGGAATGCTCCACGAGCTGTGAAACCTGATATCAAAAGATGGACTTTGCGCTGATTGAGATAAAATCAGGGCGCACATTAACAGGAGAAACAATAACTTCCTGATCTTCCAAAGATCAAGGTTGAAACTAATTAACAATTTGTTTGGGAATCGTCTTATAAACTAAACCCAGTTATTACTTTGGATCGAAATTGACCAATTACGAAACTACACATTTTCCAGAGAGGTCCGCATGAAAAAGAAGCCAATTAAAAGAAGTTTACCTCTGCTGGCACAAGTTAGATGCAAAAAAATATTTCATAATTGTAATGACTAATACTTAATTCTGTCTATTTATCTGCGCGTTTGTCTTTGCCAGTAACTATGGTCACTTTCGCATAAACAATTTTTTGCTATTTTTGGCTCTTTTATTTTTGTTAAACTATTTTTTAATTTACTTTTATTTTTGCTAAAAAGTGTGGGGGAGGGGGGGGGGGGCTAAAGCCCCCCCAGCCCCTCCCTCTGTGCGGTCTCTGGGATACCAATGCTATTCACACATCACTTATACATGGCTTGGGTTTTACTGCAGCTTTCATCTTAATGTTTCCTACAGTGTTAAAACTTATGGAAAACACTACTGAATTTTTTGCTCAAAAGAAGTTTTTGAAAGACTCTTTTAATCTTGAAATATGTTACTCATGGGATAATTAGTTATCAGCCCTTTGTCCTGTATGCTCATTTGATTTGAAATTACTCACACCATTGCATCCTAAATTGTGCTTCACTCAGTCACATTACATATGGATTATTGACCAACCATGAGGTCAAGATGGCTGAATATTGGCCAAGTTTTTGTTTTTGGTTTTTTTTTCTTTGCACATTTACGGACCAAAACAGAGTCTATGTCCATAACCACACAAAAAAGAACAAAGCCAATATTCAGCCATCTTGACCAAACTAGGAATCATTTATATATGAGCAAAGAACAAAGTTTTCTTGTGGGACTCAGCATATAAACCTCGAGTGGCAGGATAGTGCCATCTTGCCTGCTGGTGCTGGGGTAGCCAATCACAGCACAGGATTTGGTTTATCCTGCTTCTCTTATCTTGTTGCTGTGAGGGTGATTTTTGACCATCTGCAAAAAAGTTTTTCTTATAAAGAAGTTCAGTTCAAAACGTTTTGCTCACCTGTGGAAACCAGTCGCTCTCCTGCTGAAAACGCTGATAAAAGCCATACAATTTTGCTTCCAACTGGATTCAATATGCACAGCTACTTGATCTTGAATTGGACGCTATTTGTTATGAAGACCAACCTGGTGATCAAACCAAAACTAAATTACTTTTGACATTCAATGTATTGAAAACCGTTCTATGTGCTGGCTGTTGCTGTCAGACTGTGGCATTGAAGCCCTTATGGAGAATCATGAAGCCCTATATGAAGTGTCAGAGTCGTTGCCATGTGCTCACCTAAAAACGCTTCGTTCCACTTGTATCAACTTCTGCAAGCTACTTTTCAATTTGAAGGAATAAATCGTACTTATGATAATATAAGAACAAGCCACAGAAGAGCAAATAATTTTTTTAAAAAATAGAAAAACGCCAAAATGTTTTACCTTACATGCAGGATGTAAAGATACGTACAACACCCGCCATATTTTTGAAGACGTCATGCTTCTCGACACGTGATCTTAGAGTGCTTACAGTGTATGATGGGATACGTTCAGACGTCTTTATTTCTAGCCTCCATTCAAGACTGGCAGCTTAGTTTTATATCTTCAGTCAAAGTCTCGCTTAGTAAAGAGACCACCAGCAACTCTCTCCTCCGCAGAGGTTCGAAACGTTCGTTATAGAAATCCACTGAGAGATGCAAAGTCGAATGGATCGATCAGGCGCAGAACGGAGAACGGAGAACGCCCTCACGTAATCCTGTGTCTGCACCCATATCGTTCAGCGTATTCTCTCCACCCGAAAAAAACCCGGAGCCTCTCCAGGAGAGAGCGCCAGCAGTGCAACCCAGCTAAT